TACCCCTTATTCGCATCCTTACCAAGTACATACAACCCCGGAAGAAGCCACCTTTTGTAGAGAAGAATCATGATATGATCACATAAAGTGAGGACCTTGATATGTACTCTGTGATGAATCAGGCAGATTCCATTGTTTCGGGAAGCGTTAACCTTACCCGGAATACTTTTGGATTTATATGAAACTCGCCACGCAGTATCGTAGTCGTAAAAGTATCGTAGTCCAACCTCTAAAGTTATTTGCTGCGGAGAAGTACAAATCAATTGCATTTAATGCTATTAAACGTTATACAATATTGTCAAATCCTTTTTATCTGTGTATACCAGGATTTGATCGGGTTTTTAATTGTTTTTCCAACCAGATTAGCCTTATATTATACACCATAACCTTATAGATCCCTTTTCTTCTGTTAGGAATTGAGATCTGAATAATCTCTTCTCCATGTGATTGATTATGTCTTCGATCTCTCTGCAGCTAGAATAGCACACTATCGAATTGTGCATATGCAAAACTAATGCATTTCTACGTTTTCGATTGAGAGCTGTTTTGTTTCGGAGACTTCCCCACCACACCTACATCTTCGGTACATTCAGATGATTTGTGTAAAATCATTATAACATGAATTTGATAGAAATGCTAATTCTGCTGTATATTTAAGCCATTTCTGGGATGCTGTCATGTGAGTAGCAAAGATACAGGAACGCGCAAAGAGCCGATCTTTCCATCATATATTTCGAGGGTTAGATATATTCATTCTATATAATTCTATAAGAATTAAGCTATAAACCTGCTTACTTAATATATCATGAATTAAAGTTTAATTACTAACTCAAATCTAATATATAATCTCAAAATGTTTTACAAATCTTTTTTGTTTCTCATTTTCAATACTCTTTTTTAAACTATTAATATTAAATATAGGAAATCATATTATTTTAAAAATAATTTTTTAACATTGATTTTTTTATAGAATATATATAAAACGAAACTTTATGGAAATGATGAAGAGATTAGTAATTATTATATTAATTATATATTCCTCTTTTTATATCCAACTAAATTTTAATTCTCATTAACACTTTAATATAATTAAACTATTCGATTTTTACATATTCGATTTACTAAATCTCCTGTTGGTTCTTTTTGTTTTATAGTTTCTCAATATTCTAATGCTATTATAAATAATAAGGAAGTTCAAGATAATAATATCGGCGCTAACTATATCCAAGCTTTTCTTCCTAAAAAATCAAATATTACTACTAAGCCTCCACTAAAAGATACTCAAAATAAAGATTGTCTTTTCCTTAATATCTATATCTCTCTTTAAACTTTAAATAAAAATATTAATAAATAGCTTTTTGTTATTGTTTATATTTATGATAAAATCTATATATTTAATAATAAAAATATAATATTCAATATATTAGAATCTTATTATGTATATAACAATATAGATATTTGTAGAATTATTAATAATAATGTTATCTGAGTAATGGGAAATTATCGACTTAGAGTATTTAATTTTTTAAATAGTTTTTATATAAAATAGAATGCTTAGCCTAATAAAGATCTATATAATTAGCATCTGCTTTTAAACTAAATTCAAAAATATATTGGTTAAGTTAAAGGTAATAAAAATGCTATTAGTATTTGAGAACTTTTTACTAATAAAAAATCAATTTTTTATTATCTTATTGTTTATAATAATATTAAGAAATAATCTTTTTTCCAAAAAGTTGTTATCTAGAGTTCATCATTTTAGTGGTTATATAATTAAGTAGGTATTTTATAAGAAATCTTTTTTAGTTTTGTAATAAAAATAAATTATATTAATAAAAATATTTTCGAATATTTAAGAAAAATTAATATAAAGATTTTGAAGGTAGTCAATTAAAATGTTATTAATTAATATTTGGATTTGGGATTATTTTTATTTGGACCTATTGTTAACAAGGATCTGGTGTTAGATTTCTTAATGAATTTATTGAAATAAGATATATAAATTTCTATATAATTATTTTTATCTTTTGTTACAATTTTCTAATTTATTAGTAGAATATTATTAATTATGGATTTCAGGTAAATATGTTAGTATTGAATTTCTAATCATTTTATATATATATGATGAGGCAAGGCTTTTTGTTAATAAGAAAATTAAAATTGAAGTTTAGTTTATAGAATTTGTTATTCTTGTTTTTTCAAATAATGAACTAATAAAAATAAAATAGAAAATTGAGAATAAATATTTTTTTAATATATATAATAATAACTAATAGATATGTCTCAAAGTAGCATTAAATAATTTAATATTCATTTATAATAATTATTAGATTTATTATATATACAAAAAGAACTTTAAAATCTATACTATTCAATATAGAGTTTTACTGGCTTAATATAGTATTGATTTACTTATTATCATTTGAAATAAGAAGGTTAATATTAGTAATCTTATTAAAGTAATCATTTCTTAGCTTTTTGAATAGATTTTTAATATCCTTAAGACTATATAAATATTTTTAGCTTTGAAATATTAAAAGTACTTTACTATTTCTATATTAATTAGTGATTTAAATTATTTCAATAATAATTGGGTATTTACATAGAAAGTAATAATTAATAATAATAAAGAATTAATAAATATAATAAAAGTCAATCTATAATATTCCAATTTTAATTATTTATTTTATACTTTTGGATTTAATAATTAGGTAATCATAGCGAACTATAATTTCTGAAATGATTTTGTAGAAAAGATTATGATTATTATTAGTAATGAAAAGAAGCTAACAAGTTTCAGAACTCAGTTTTACGAGTGCTTATAAGGTGGTCAAATTGAATTGTAGTTACTACAAGAATCAGGATTTGAGAAAACCAGAATAGACAAAATGGAAATTAAAAGGAGCTAAAATATGATTTGTTATTTTGTTTCTTTAATATTTGATGGATAAGTATTTCTTCTTGTAATTATAACAAATTTAAAATAATAAAAAATGTTCTACTCTAAGCTACCTATATCAAACTTATGGTGAAATAACTACAACTAAATTAATTGAAATATTTAAAAACTAATAGAACTGTTTGATTAAAAATTTACTAAGATAACACTATTGTAATAGTCTTAGAACCCATAACATCTTTCACTTTTATCTTTTTTATTCTTCTCTTTTAATCTTAACAAAAATCAAAAACCAATATTATACCCAAAAAAACAATTAAGCTAATAAAGTAATATTAAATCTATAAGAATTCTTTATAGCTATTCTATAAGATTACTATTTTATTGTATAACTATGAACTTGATAGTCTAACCTCAAAGTTCTTTTTTTTTCTTAGGTAAGCTTACTGGAGGGCCTGAATCTACAAAGAAGTATTTAAAAAAGCGAAGTCAAAATAACTATAAGTGCCCTGTTATACAAGGATTAGCTAATGGGAGGAAGTAAGATAATATCACAAGATAAGTATATTAAGAATCGAAAAAAGAGCAAATATCGAATATTGGTATTAAATAAATATGAAAACTATGAATTAATAGCTTTTCAAGTATATTATAAAGAAAACAATATTATATATTTAAATTTAATATTATATTCAAGTTATTTAATTTAATTATTTGATATTAATTGTTTTGGTAATCTAAAATGTTTATATAATATTTAAATCAATGAATTTATTAAAGCATATATTAATGATATTTTGAAAATTGAATTCTTTATAGCTTTTAAAGTTGTATATTAAGAATCAATTATAATTCAAAATATGAAATCAGGGTTTCGAGGAGTAGGTTTAATACTATTTAATTCTAAAGTTATATTCTTGAAATTAGATATTCGAATTTATATATCTATTTTCTTTTTTTTCGATTCAGATTTATAGATCTCTTAAACCCTTTATAATCCAATTGAAGCTCTTTTATAATTAATTTTAATAAAATCTTGAATAACTTGTTTTTAATTAAATTCCTTTATATTTATATTTGAGATTATATCAGTTTTAGTTAAAGATATAGAAAGATTAGCTTATAAGAATATACTTTTAAATGTAGAGGTTTATATACTTCGAAAAGCAAATATAATATTAAATAAATATCAATATACAAAAAAAACTTAATTATGTTAAGAAGGAATATTTATTGGATAAGAGGTTATAGATATATTATTTTAGTAAAAGGTTGATATTCAGATTCAATATAATGAGTATTAAAAAGAGGGGAATTCTAATAGAGAAGTATTTTTTAATTGATATTGTAGTAAGTGTGGAAAGATAGAATATAATGTAAGAATTTATCAAAATAATATAATAAATCCTAGATTATTAGAATCTTAATAGTTTTGATTAATTGAATTAATTGTTATTGAATAATATGAGTTTGAAAGTATAAATTGAGGTGAAAGTGGTCCATTCGATGATAAATCACGTTATACACAATATAGATAAAATAAATAATTCTTTCCGAGAGGATCAAAAATCCTATATATACTTTTATATAGTTAATATTGGAGCTACTTCCACTACCACCGTATATTCTTGTAATAAAAGTTGCTATAAGAGTATAATATTTAATAAGAGTTCCTATATAAAACGAAATAAAAAAAAGGGAAGTATTTGAAAAAGAAGAAGTAATAATAAAAAAAGAGAAAATTATTGTAGAAATAAAAGAAATAGTAATTGAAAAAGAAAAAGGAGTAAATCCTTTTTCAACTCTTTGATTAGTATATTTCCTTATTTTTATTATTATATATAATGTATATAATAAGCGGGCACTAATCTCTAGCATTTGTTTTCACTTTTTTAAATCGAACATATTCAATCTTGTAAAATAAAAAGTTATTTGCTAGAGCCTCTAGAGACCTAGCCGTCCTATATAGTCCTAGATTAAAGATGGATGTAAATGAAATCAATCAATTAATCAATCAATCGACTGCTTCACGAATCACGATAGACAATTCAAGTCCCGAATACAGATCAATAAAACTATATATAGGAAATAGCCGAAGTTGATTCGGGTTCATATATCTCAGACTCAAATATACTATCCCCGGTTGACGGTTCGATAGATGTTATTCCTCAAAGATTACCACCTATACCACCTATTTTGTCGGAAAGATACACCACAATTGCTGGCCATCAAAGCACAAACCTTGTTCTGATTCGCAGAAAATACCCTGCACCTTAGTCTTCCCGCTCCAGCCCCCAGATACGCCACGAGTCCTCCAAAACAACGCCCCTTCTTCTCCTCTATATACCAGGCACATCTTATCGTTGCGGACTGCTACCGCAGGAGAAGAAAAGAGTGGAAAGGCCGAGTCGACAGGAGAAAAGTTCCCCCAATTCCCATTACTGTAGGTGGCAAGATAAAATTGTTTGTTGATGTCCCATTGGAAGATCTGCAGCTTTTTATCGAAAACACAGACGGCCGGAGCTCCTTGTGTCCTGCTCCCCGAAAACATTGTAAAGTCATTATACCATATGGTGCCGGTGGATGAAGGGAGGGAATATGTTCTGTTGTCCATTCCTCTGATAACACAATATATTGCCCCATCATAAGCACCCCTATATGCACCCCTTATTGTCAGTATAGCTGTATAGAGTAGAGAGGGGAGGGGGGAAAGATAAGACTAGAGAGCTTCCAAGTTTCTGCTTACAAGGCTGGGCCTGACGGCGAATACCCTTTACTCTCGAGGCCTATATTTGTTTGCCCTTTCCACGAATGGTTATCTTCGGTGTGTATAATTGCTATGCGACCATCGAGTTTCCGGAAGGCACAGAACAATTTATCCTTGAAAACAGCCAGAGACGGACGTCCCGGCGGACCAGGCTTTGCTGTACCACCCTCGTTCACACTGATGCGAGCTGGCACTGTCCAGAGCTTCCCGCTGCCTGGAGGCAATTTCGTGACCATCAGATGCTGAGTGTCTCTGTCGCGGTAAACGCATGTGATATCGTTTTTGAAGACGGTCATGCCTGAGCCATCTACAGATTTTCCTGAGACCGTTTGCGGGGGGGTCCACCAGCTTTCAGCATAGAAAGTGGTTGTCTGTAAACTTCCAGTCGGCCCAGCTAATGGGTAAAACTTCACCCACACTTCAAACCTGCCGGCCTTCCCTTCACGGTCGAAAATAAAAGAAGTCTCGTTTGGGAGGTGGGGTTTCGTAAGATTGACAAGTGCGGCTTTGTCGAAGATGAAATTGCGATTTTGGACGTGATCATCCTCGTTAATTGCCAAGTTGAATAGAAATGAAAATGCGTAGGCGAGGAACCCTGATGATTTGTTAGATGATACCGCTGCAAGCACAAGGGACCAAGCCACCAATCAGGGCAAGAAGCGCGACTCCCTCGTCCCCACTATCATCCCATTGATCTTGGTTGTTGTTGGCCTCGATTGCTGCGTCAATACACTCCTGAGCTACATCTTTCATAATCTCTCTCATTTGGGCAAAGAAATCATTCCCGCTACTGTCATGCTCCCATATTTCAAGATGACAAGCTCTATATTCACACCTTATTGTCAGTATATCTGTTTGTATAAAGCATAGAAGGAAAAGAAAGGATTAGAAAGCTTTACAGATCTAGATCACGGATGTTAGCATATATTTATATCTATTGTTCCTCCCTATCTCCAACAATGAGAAAAGACGGGGGAAAATTACTTGTTTGAATTGGTCCTTCAAATAAATAGACACCATTCAAACGATGAACAGTTCCGGTATCGACTGAGCCGTATTTTTCCGTTGTCCAATCAGTCTTCTTTTTTTCCGTCTGAGCCTGATCCACAGCAGAAATAGATCTCATTTTTGGGACTGGTGATAGGGTCTCCAACTTTTTCATAACATTTGAAACGATCTACCGAGATTCTGTACCATCTGGTTGATGTGTCGTCCGTTGCTAAGATCTCTGTTGAGTCCTCTGTCGCGCCCTCTGGTATCTCGACTGACTGTAGTTGGACTGGAGGGGTTGGGGGCTGTACAAAGTCACACTGTTATTAATAACTTGACAGATCGAAAGTATATTGCTCTCTCATCACAAGCTCGGAGGTTGTTATAGTATGTAGGAGATTTAAATTTCTTACCCCGGTAAAACTGGTAACACTTGTGTTAGATTGGGCAACAGCCGCAGCATACTCAGGACTATCGGTGTAGCCCTTATCGGTGAATTTGGAGATATCGACGACAGCGTTTTCAGGCCTAGCAAGAATCTCGGGTGTAGCGGCAAGTGCATCTTTGATAAGCATTTTTGCAGTGTAAGGTTCATTGTCATCCATCTGTAGAATAGATGTAGCAAGTATACTCTTGTCGCCAATGGAACGAGCGGTTTCTTTGTTCTCCATGTAAATCTGACCCCATTGAGTAATCTCGTCGTCTGATGCAAAAAAACTAAGGACCCCCAACCAGCGTTCTTCTAACGGGGATAGAGACAAGCCTTCAGTCCGATGAGCAGCAGCGCGGAACATCGCAGTTGTCACAACATCAGGGGGACCAGAAAATTTGACTTTCCAGGTTTTGGTCGTCTCTGTGCCAGAGAATAGTGCTCGCAAAGCACTCGCACGCTCTTCTGACGTCTTCATTCCCATGGTGAGAAAAATACTTCTATAATCAATATTAGTACAGTTTTCGATTGAAAGGGAGATATGTAATACCAGTGGTGAGTTTGTTTCCAAGAATTGAGAGGCAGAAACACACAGTGCTCAATGAAGAGTAAGTTGTTGATTTATCAATCTTCATGGTGGGAAAGCCAATATATATATTGACGGAATGGTATTGTCCCACGCCAGTCTGATGGAACTACAGAAACGCTCATTTCATCCCACACAATAGTCCAAGATATCAGACGAAAATTCTCGGAAAATACAACGTTGATTCATTATTCAAGGTTTTGAGTATAGTTCTTTGTTTACCCCTCTTTCTTGTAATCGTAGGCCTACAAGCCCCCCCTCTAGCCTCCCCTCTAGCCTCCCCTGAGCCCCCCCCCACCCACCTTCCAACAACTCTAGAGGTAGTAGGTTCCCTAGAATAGTCGGCATAAAATTATACTACGCATAGCATAAAATCCAACATCACTTTAAATATTAATAATCTTACTACCATGTGATATCAAAATGAATAACAAAGAAGGTTGTTACGGGAGCTGCCTCTAGGGTCACGTGGAAGTGGCTAGAGATCTCTTGAGGTAGTTTAGACTAAACTTCAAGTAGGAATTCAATATGATTATAACTGATTGTAATTCTTGTAATTATAATATAAAACTAATAATTGTTTTGAGCACGAAGCTCTATATTGTAATGAAACCCATTCCTTAATATAGACCTTCGTCCTCGCTGGACAGCCAGGAGAGCTAGTCTCTCCTGGAGCGCTGTCGCTCCATAGCTGCCCATCACGTGACATTAGTCGCGTGACTTCCATTGGTATTACTGCTTATCTAACTTGTGCTTACTAGCTAACCTGTGACTTAACTACCCTATACTTACCATAGGATAGGTACCAACAAAGATAGGTGCCTATCTTTCCTAAAGTACTGATTACTTGCTTGGTTACTCTTGTTCCTAACTACCTTTCAATCTCACGGTTCCTAAGGTGTCGTTTTCGTAGGTCACGACACCAAGGCTCGCCTTTATCTTATAATATTTTAGGTGAATCTATTTAATATTAGTTTTAAACAATTTAATAAATAATTTAATTTATTTATATCTATAATTATAAGAATTTATAATAATATTATTAATATTAATTTATTATAAAATAATAAGTATAATTTTTATTTTAAAAAAATTTATTTTTATTTTTATTATAACAAAATTATATTTTCAAAAATTAAAGCTTTTTAGAATAAGAAAAAGAAAAATCCAAAAAATATAAAATCTAAAAAGAAATCCCAGAATTTTTATTTTTTAAAAAATCTTTTTATAATCAAATAATTCTATGAAGAAATTATATTTCAATTTATAATTAAATATTATATTAATAATTACTTTCAATTTAGAATTCTTATTATATAAATAAGGCTATTTATTTCAAAAGAATGATTTCAATATAATAATTATTATATCAAAAGGATTAAACAAATATAAAAAAGATTAGCTTTTTCAATAATATTTATATAAGACCTATTACTTTTCTATATAATTAGTTTTTTAAATAAAATATAATTAAATATATAGAATTTATAATATATAAATATTATATTTTCTATATCCTTCTCAAATCAATATTAATTAATAATATTACAAATTATTTAATTAATTATTCAAAAAACCTTTTTATTCTTTTTATTCTTATTCTTTTGTTTTTATTATTAGTATTATAACATCTCAAGCAAATTTATTAGATAAGTAATCTAATTTATTTATATTTATAATCATAAGAGCTTATAATAATACTATTAGTATCAATCTATTATAAAGTAATAACTATAAGCTTTATAAAGAATTAAATAATATTCTTTTTTATTCTTATTATAATAAAACTATACTTTCAGAAACCAAAGTTTTTTAGAATAAAAAAAAGAATAATCTAAAAAATATAAAATTCAAAAAGGAATTTCGGAATTGTTTTTTGTAAAGGATTTCTTCATAGTCAAATAATTCTATAAAGGATTTATATTTTGATTTATAATTGAATATTATATTAATAACTAGTTTTAATTTAGAATTATTATATATTCAAAAACAAAAGTTATTAATATATCTTTTTAGAAAATAATTATATATAATTTCGAAGTTATTTAATGATTTTGAATTAAGAATATTAATAAATTAATATTATATAATTTCCAAAAACTTTATAACATTATATTATTAATAATAAAAATCAAAAAATAAGAATAAAAAGAATAAAAAGATTTTTTAAATAATTAGTTAAATAATTTGTAATATTATTAATTAATATTGATTTGAAAAGGATATAAAAGATATAGTATTTATATATTATAGATTTTATATATCTAATTATATTTTATCTAAAAACTTAATTATATAGAAAAGTAATAGGCCTTATATAGGCATTATTAAAAGAGCTAATCTCTTTTACATTCGCTTAATCCTTTTGATATAGTAGCCGTTATATTGAAGTCATTCCTTTGAAGTGAATACCCTTGTTCATACATATAGAATCAAAATAATTAGAATCAAAATAAATTTTATTAATAATTTTTATTAGTAATTTTTATTAGTAATTTTTGTTAGTAATTTTAATTAGTAATTTTTATTAGTAATTTTTATTAGTAATTTTTATTAGTAATTTTTATTAGTAATTTTTATTAGTAATTTTTATTAACAATTTGTTTATAATATTTGATATAACTCTTTTTTAATTGATTATATAAGCTTTAATTATATTTATATTATTTAAATTTCAATCTTTTATTAAAATCTTAATTTAAAAGTGGCTATTATAAAAAATATATTATTTGAAAGTTTTTAATGTATTTTATATAATTATCATTTTTCCTTTTTTTTATTCAATTGAATTTAAATAATTTTGTTGAAAAAGGTTAATTATATTTATTAGTTTGATGTTATGCTATAATATTAAGAAAGTCAAATTGATTAGATAATTTGAATTAGATTTTATTAAACGAGAATTTCTCATTTTTTGTGTATATATATTTTCGGCTCTTGTAGGTGGCAAGATTATTAAGAAGGTAAATCTTTAATAATAATGCTTCAATAGAAGAGAGTTTATATAGTTACTAAATTACGTCTACTATATAGTTGATGACAGACGGATGCTTTGATACCCCTGTTCCTCCTTCATAGATGTGTTGCCTGATAAGGTTTCTAAGCGACCCGAAGTCAGAGGTGTTCTAGAATGTCGCGAAATTTAATTAGAATGTCTGCGTTGGCTAATGTGGAGGAGGACATTAAGACGGATTATGATTGGCTCCCTTTAATACGATAATATCGATTTGTTGTCAATTTCCATTTCATTGAACCACAACAACTAGCCATACATACATACTACACCCAAGATGTTATTGTAAACAACTTTCTCTTTCTTTTTCTCCTTCTCCTTCCCCTTCCCCTTCCCCTTTCATCCTTCTCTACGGTGTACTCTCATCCAACTATCCGCTCCCTCCTTTCCCGCCCTTCCCTCATCCTATCAATTCTCCTCTCGCCCCCCGCCCTCTTACCAGGTCGTCTGTCGCCCATTCACATCAAACTCAGTCCAACCAAATATACATTCTGCACTGAACTGTATGCAACTGCACTGGGCTGCACTGTATTATCCCATCCATTGCATCCATCGCATCCATCCCATCTACGGAGTATACCTTTTATCCTTGCTCGCCTTACTCACCACCAACTAATATACTTGTATCATTTCCATACTCTATTCGCTCTCACACTATCACATACCGGTACATTACTACCACACTATCAGAAGATACTCTCAGCTGAGGAGCTGTCAATATTTTGTGGTTAAGAAAAAAAGACTTGTAACTTCACTTCGTCGAGTATTCCCCTCAATAATATATCATTATTCATTTTATTGCAATTATTGTTCGACCATTTATTGATTTTTCTTTGATTTTTCGTCACGAAATTTTCATCTTCTTCCAGCTCTCTCGTCTTATAATCTGAGCCGTTCCGATCCTTATCACTATCGCAAAGTGTGGCCCCGCGCACCCTGTCTGCCACGACTGGCTCCAGCCTTCATCAGCCTTTCCCCTGGCCTTACACATTCTTCCTATTGTATTGTCGCCATCACTCCCTTTCTTGCGCACTCCATTAACGACCTTATTTTATTTTTCGCTTTAAACTCCATGGCATTTCGCCAGTGAGAAGGAACCCGAGGTAGTATGTTAGTGCAGTGAGATTACAGTATGATCCAAATGCAACGATCCTCGTCGCTCCCTGGGCCAGGTCATGCCTCACCTCGTACGTCTCGTATCTGCGATATACGATGTTTTCTTGTTTTTTATACTGCTCCTTCCTCGTCGAATAGTAGATTGCTAATGCGCCGAACCGCCAGCTATGTCCCCGACAATCACTCATGTATCCTCCAGGAGCCCGACACCTTCTCCGCCGGAGAAGAACGATTTACCACGACTGCACCGATACCAGTCGAGAAGTCCACAGAGACCCATCACTTCATACAAGGACTTGCCAAATGACGCGGACACTAGATGGAGTTCTGGCCAAGATTCCTCACGTTCGTCCTCGCCCACACCTGCCCAGGATGCTCCAGGCGCCGTTGATAGATCGTCTACCCCAAAGCCGTACAACCAGGAATCTATAACTTCAATAAAAATGCCTCAGCCTCTATTGCAAGACATATCTCAATACATAAACCCACAGATAAGTGCCATAACTTCAATGACCACGAATACGAGTCTCGAGGAGCTTGCCCATTTGGTTAGGTTGTCCTCGTACCAGGAAAAGAAGCGTGCCCATTCACGCATTCGTTTACAGAGATCCCTGGTGTCAACAGCACTCTCTGCCCGCCTCGCACGATGCGGAGAATTGGCACACCGGACCTTGGTTGACAACTTCAGGGCCGATGAGAAAAAAAACTTTGCCAACCTTTACAATGCCATACATGATGTCCGGAATTCATGCGATGCCTCCCGGCGCTT